ACCCCTTGGAATGCGGTTTTACCCCCTTGTTCAGTTCCCTGATCAATGTTTTAAGAGATGATCTCACGGTTAAAACTATGAACAAAGAAACTAGTAAAAAATGTAGTTAAGTATGGAAGGGTAAATTTTGATCATTTAATTACCTGGCCGGTTAGAGAAGGAATGCTTTGATGAATGATCCATTGAGAATCCACAACACCAATCTTCTCATGAGCAGGCTGTTTTATTGTATAATGAAAATGCTTTTTCTTAGTATCCAAAATGTTTTGTGCAAAATGTATATATATACGCATTGGTGAATAAGTTGTATTTGAATTTTAACCTCGACACATTTTCTTAGCGCGAAGTCAAGACCCCAACCATGAACCAAGTCATTTTGAATCATATGCCACACGCAGCGCCATGAATCACGTGAGAAAACTGGAGCCATAATCTCTATAAACCTAATAAGAAACCGCGTAAAAACTTATGAGATCAAGAAAGTTTTATTAAATTTTGACAAATGAGATCCATACCCTGCACAAGGAGGTAGGTGAGGGTCATTGCAGCGGCCTGGTCTCTCTTTGACTTCTCTGGTGAAAGAATTTTGGCAAGAACACAACTTTTCTTTTAGTTGTTTTGTTTACTTGACAAGTTTTAGTTAAGAGTTAGTATTTTTACTTGTGAACTTCGACTCCGGGTATTCTCTTTGTTATCTGCCATGTAATTTTTTTTCTTGATTCCACAGCGGGTTGCGATATTTCTAGACCGTGCTTCTTTACAACCTTGATGTACCTTGCAAGATGAGAAAGCAATGATGAGCACAATTTCTTATTTAAACTCTTGGAGTTAGTAAAACCAAAAGAAGCAAAGACTCACTCTTCTGCATCGAAGTTTTCAACGCCAAGATCTTCATCCCAAATGAATATATATTCATATGGTGCTATGATATCAGGATGCAGAAACCTTTTAGCATACCACCTTCAATAGTAACATATGCAAGAGATATGTTTATAAAAAGGTTTAGAAGTTTGGGACCAAAGGAAATGTAGAAAGAGAGGTAAGTGTTTGTTACCACTTGGTTTGCTTAGGTACACTCACGTGTATCGCCCGTTTAGACCATTCAAATTCATCGTATTCCGAGGTTCTTCCATCGTAATGAAACAGAACAATAGTGAAGTTATCTGAGAACTGTAGAGAGAGTCATCAGAAAACATGAAAAAGGAAATAGAGCAAAAGAGAGAGAGAGAGATACATACTTTCTTGACGCAAGCATCGATGTTTGCCCTATGTTCATAAGCAACGGTAAAAGCAACAAGATACTTAGGCTTCACCTCTGGTAAATCCTAAAGAAACAAAAAAAAACATGATTTAGACAAGTCAAATTAAGATTCATAGATGTCTAAAGATCATTACAAAAACATTATGTTATGTAATTATACATCTTTGGGCAATCCCCACAATCTTCTTAAGTAGAAATCTGATTCGGCGGCAACAAAACTTGGAGGCAACATCTCTGCGCCGCGAGGATTCGATGGAACCCAAATCTGCAGAATCCAACAGATCGTTGAAACTTAAACCACAAAAATACTTATTAGTTATTAAGATCACTCATGTTCAAAGGAAGAAACAAAACACATACCTTAAAAAATGCTGCATCACTTAAATTAGACTCTTGTGGTGGACTAATCGTAGGTGATATCTCCGGTTTTTCATCTTGTACATAAACAGAAGGAAGTATTTTTGATGGAAAATTCATCTGAAATAAAATATAAGTCATGATCTTTACAAATATTAACAACCAAAATATTAAAATTCCTTTAAAGAAAGTAAATTATAGGAGCTAACTTTAGTTAGTGACGATGTAGGGAAAGATGTTCCTAATAAAAATCCGATAACTAGTCCTGCGAAAGTCGCTATTATGAGCGTCATACCGTCATTCGGTTTTTTACTACTCGTACTACAAAAAAAAAAAGAACAATCATTTAATTTATTTCTTTTCTTCTATAATGAATGAACTCGATCAAGGATTCAATCTGGTTCAAGTCACAAACCAGCGGATCGAGTTGTCTGTTCGGTTAGCCATGTCCTGAAGTTGATAACCAGAAACAATATCATTCGATGGAGGCTTCAGTCTTCGAGACTTTACTATCTGCATCAATGTCAATATATATGAGATCAAGTAAAAAATGTTATTTAAAAAGAAGGTTCTCTAGTTGATTCTAATCAAATTCTCATATGACTTCATGCTTAAAAAGTAAGAAATATGAACAGAGTCATCAGAAAACATGAAAATTTTAGACATTTAGTGAAATCAAGAAAAACTTAAAAGACCAAATTGAAATCTTGTCAAGAACGTACCCAAAAGATGAATTTTTATTTCATTTATATAATAATGAACTTTGAGCTTTCGTTGACATAAAATAACGTTACACTTTAATCAACAAAGTAAAGACATAGATTAAACCAACAAAAAAACAAAAAAAAGTAAAGACATAGGACAAATTCACAAGTTATGAACTTTATATATCTGTGAATCAAACAAGAAATATGGAAACTTAAAGAAGACAGTAATTTCTAGATTCAGACAAAAGAAATGGTTAACAAGATAAAACACGTTACTCTTTGAACAAATTTTTGATCAAACAAGTAAAAAAGACTCTGTTTTCAATTTTTGTTGGATCATTTTTCCAGCAACAAAGAAAGATCGATGAGACAAACC